ACCATGTTGGCCAAGCTGGTCTCGAACTGCTGACCTCAAGTGATCTGCCTGCCTCGACCTCCAAAAGTGCTGGATTACAGGCGTGAGCCACCACATTCAGCTTTATATAATTATTTTTTAAAACATTTAAATTTATATAAATCTTAGGTAAAATTCTAGCTGGTATAATTTTTTTTGTCAGATTACTCAGTATTAAGATTGCCTTGTGTGTGTATTAGTAGTCTTTGTCTTCTGGAAGAAAGAGTACAGTGATAAAATAAAAAAAAACCAAACAAACAAAAAAACCCCTAGAAGCTTAGTTTACTTCTTTTTTTTTCTTCTTTAAAAAAAAATAGAGACAAGGTCTCACTATGTTGCCCAGGCTGGTCTCTGAGCTCAAGTGATCCTCCCACCTTGGCCTCCCAAAGTGCTAGGATTACAGGTGTGAGCCACCACACTGGCTTTTTTATTTATGTATTTATTTTTTTAGTTCTTTTGAGATAGGGTCTTGCTCTGTTGCCCAAGTTGGAATGCAGTTACACAATCTTGGTTCACTGCACTCTCCATCTCCTGGACTCAAGTGATCCTCCCATGTTAGCTCCCAAATAACTGAGACTGTAGGTGTGGGTCACCACGCCCGGTTAATTTTCGTATTTTTTGTAGAGATGGGGTTTCGCTATGTTGCCTAGGCTGGTCTCAATTTCCTGAGCTCAGGTGATCCACCTGTCTCCACATCCAAAAGTGCTGGGATTACTGGCAGGCATGAGCCACCATGCCCCAGCCAAAGCTTAGGTTACTTTTTAGTTTTCCTGTGAGAATATCTAACTTAGTCCTAATAGGGTATGTGGGATGGTCTTAAAATCTCATTGTTCAGGGGAGTGGCTACTAAATGGGAAGACCTATCTTCTGTGCTATATTATTATATTAGAGATTGACAAAAAGTAAAAAGCCATGTCCTAAGCATAAAAGTAAATGATCTACCTATTGGTATCCACTTTGGAGATACCGTGTACCTTTGGGCCTTTAGCAATATAGAGTTACTAAATATCTTTTTTTTTTTTGAAACGGAGTTTCACTCTCGTTGCCTAGGCAGGAGTGCAGTGGCACAATCTCAGCTCACTGCAGCCTCCGCCTCCCAGGTTCAAGTGATTCTCTAGTCTCAGCCTCCTGGGTAGCTGGGATTACAGGCATATGCCACCATGCCCGGCTAATTTTTGTATTTTTAGTAGAGATGGGGTTTCAGCATTTTGGCCAGACTGGTCTTGAACTCCTGACCTCGTGATCCACCCACCTCTGCCTCCCAAAGTGCTGGGATTACAGGCGTGAGCCACTGCGCCCAGCCACTAAATATCTTATACTTACTATAAACTTTACAGTTTCCAAGGATGGATATAATAAAGTAATTGTGGGTAATTAAGGGTAAATTTTTTCTTATTTCGTACCATTGAAAACAATTTGAATTTCTAACAGTTTTGTCAGATATCACAGGTTGCTGAATTAATCTTAAAATAAGACCTATTTTGCTCTTGGAACCTTTAGATAGTGTTTTAAGGGAAATACTTGTGGTATAGTTTATACTCATAATTCTACCTTTATAGATGTGGAAGTTGGATTATGTCTTTCCAGAGTCACAGGAATTTTGGACACTTGCCTTTAATCCTGAAATCGTCATTCATTTTTCCTTTTGCAGTCCATTCTCTAAATAATCTTTTAGGTCTAACCAGCTATCACAGGATGCAAAAAACTAACATCTAAAAAACAGGGTTACTCAAGGTAGAGGAGTCATTTTTCATCTCAAAATATTTCTTTACTTTGTGCCCCCTTTCCTCTGATAGATTTATTACGTTATTTTTAGTTAAATCATCCTTAGGATCTCAGCTTTTACTAACTTTTCACTCAAAGAAATTCATACTTAAGGTCTGATAGTGAGACCATTTCATTGATATGTGAAAGGATGTGTTGCTTATGCAATGAGGGGCAGGGCTAGCTAACCTCTCTTGGCACCTCCAGGAAACTACCCAGCTCTGCTGGGGGAGCTGCACACAGAAAAGGAAACAGTTACTACTCCACGGTGAGTAACCCTGTTTTCTCCTTATTTCACCTTCTGACTGTTTTCATTTATTTTTAAAAGCTTGTGTGTCAGACTTGGAAATAGTTCCTGTTTTCAGAGTTAATTTAAAATCTAGCAGCATATAAGATTTCTCTTTACTTAGCAACTCTTTGTTCACTTGGCAGGGTAAGAGCCAGGTTTTCGTTTGTGTTTGTAGTTATTATTGCTACCTAGGATTGAATTGGATAATAGAACACAAAAATAGGCCTAATTGTCTCTTGTGAAACATTTATACTTTGAAGGGAAAAAAAATCTTTTAGTGGCTTGGTTTTACATCTTTTATGTTTATTTTTATTTAGAAGGGGAAGGATTATTGGGAAGATAGGATGTTCTTTCACTTATACACAGGAAGAATTTTATATTATTGTTTACAGCTGTTTCATGACAATTCACCCAGCCTTCATTTACATATGTGATTTGTATTATATATTTTGTTTTTGTGTTAATAGTTATTTTTCACCATCCCTTCTTTCCTATCAGCGATTCTTTTCATAGTTCTGCTCTAATCATATCTAAGGAAGATTGCCATCTAGTGGTATGAATACTATAGTTGTTGAACATTCATAGGTCTTTTTTTAGTGGTACAAATATTTTAATACATTTTACTATAAGTTAGGTGGCCTGGTACTATCTAGAAGCTATGAAGCAGATTTAACTTTATTATTATTATATAGAGGTGTTATTTACAGTATGTTGTGCTGGAATTATTTTTTTGAATTGTACTGTTCCTTAGGTTAAATGATAATATGGTTTATAAAATGAACTAGTGAATGAGTAGGATGGATTTCACATGGGGAAGGGGAAGGTAGTGATGGAATTTGATTTAACTTACATACTATTACTATAGCTTTTAGTCAGAATATAGATCTGTAAGACAGTGCCTTAAGCCTATTCACCTAAGATTATGTGCATAGCTAAAAGCTACTAGAACCATTTTATATATCAAAGATTACATTCTGGGCACAAGTAGATCTATAACATCACAAAGAGATAGAGTCATAATATTTTACTTGGGTAATGGATAGAGATTTCTTTTCATAAAAAATCTTCTAAAGGTCAGAAGAGGTAGAGCACTATGGCTCATGCCTATAATCCCAGTGCTTTGGGAGGTGGAGGTGGGAGGATTACTTGGGACCAGGCGTTTGAGACCAACTTGGGCATCATAGCGAGACCCTGTCTCTACCAAAAAATAAATAAACAAATTAGCTGACTTGGTGGCGTTCAAGAGCCCGAAGTGTGTGTGAGTCCACTTGAACTGGGAAGGTTGGGGCTGCAGTGAGCCGTGATCGTACCACTGCACTGCAGCCTGGGTGACAGAGGGAGATCCTGTCTTGAAAAAAAGAAAAAAGTAAATAGCTACACTTGCTGAGAAGCAGTTACTGTAAAACATGCTAAGCCAGTTAATTTGTGGTAGGCAAGAAAATATCAAATTATGGTGGATAAGAATAACTAAAAGCTGTAATGTGTACTACCCAGATATGTCCTATATATAGTCTTCCCTTGGTGTAGTTAGGAGATTGGACCCACAGCATACCAAAATCCACTCATCCTCAAGTGCCACAGTAGGCCCTGTAGAGCTCGCATACACGAAAAGTCAGCCTTCCATAATGTGTAGATTTCTCATCTGGCTGATACATTTAGTTGAAAAAAAAATCTGCGTGTAAGTAGACCCACACCTGTGTTGTTCAAGGGTCAGCTCTTTGTAGGAGATATGGACGCTGTATTTTAATCTAAGTTTTAAAAGTAAAGGAAGAAGATAAGGCTTTTGTTTAAATATATTACTTAATATTTTACAATCTTATACAGGATTTTTAAAAGTAGTCAGCATAAGTGATAATTTTTCAGATTCCCTGGTAACAAAACAATTCAAAGTGTCACATGGATTTTAAGAAATTTGGTGTCAGGACTCTTGGATGAAATTTGTTTGAAAAACTTTAAATTCCCAAATGACAGCTTTTTTGATATAGTAAAACCTATGGAGAATAATTGGTCATAAAGAATGCTTTTTTTCTCTTATTTGTATAACATGACTGTAACTAAAGTGACAGTAGTTAAAGTTCATGCTTGACTTAATGTTATATGGCATTAGATACAGACTGGGTAAGCTGCAGGCTGTATATTTCTCCTTCAGAAAACTGTTTATGGCAGCAGTGGGGAGACACATACTCTAATGGGATGGCTCACAGCAAGCACTTCCCCTTGCTCTAACAATGGCAGGGGGGAGGGTGGGAACCCTCTTGTGTTTTATTCTTGTTACTCTTGAGTACAGGCCTTTTCTCTTTGGTGAAATCTAATTTCAGTAAAGACTTGACGTTCATGTAAAGGAATCTGATTTTATTTTCTACTAACAGATTTTGGATACATACATATTTTTGATCATGCAAAAATATATAAGATGCTCAAGTTTGCCAGTGGTTGAAGCTTTATAGAAGGAAAACAAATATTAAGCTTTGAAGTAAGTTAGTGAAAAAGAAGCCATTCTTTGTTTATACTCTATGGGCTTGGTTTTGAAACTTGAGAAGGTATTGTTGCTATCCTCTGTACTGGGTTATGGTGAGGAACATAGTTAAGTAACTGACATTTTAGAAATGTTTTTTCCTGTTACCTAAATGCCTGAATTCATAATTGTCAAATATTAAGGTAGAGATAACCCATTTAATTCAGCTACTTTTTGAGGGTATACAATATAGCTCAGGATGTGCTGATTTAAAAATGTTATTTTCTTCATGGCAAGTGCTGTGCAGTTCATTGGTGATTAGTAATAATAATAAGATTGCTGTTTATTAACTCTATATGCTTGCCGCATTTGTGCCTGTTTTTCCTTTTAGAACGTATCTCTTTGTTTAATAAAAGCTTTGAATTGAATCTCGTATTTTGAAATAAAATATTGAAAATGAGGTATATTTTTCACTAGAGAAAATGTAGATTTCAGATATATCAATTCTCATTTTCCTATAAAATCTGTTCTTGCATATGTAAAAAGTGACTTTTAACTGTTTAATGAATTTAACTGGTTGGGTCTGGTTGTGGTAGCCTTGCAGAGCAGGGCTACTGTTTATAGGCTCAGGGTAGCCTCTGGTTGTGGCATCCTAATTCTTTATGGCAGATCTTTAATTAGGAAACAGTGATTTTTACACCTGAATTTCTTCGAAAAGAGGTCTTTTTATTGCACATGTTAGGAGAGATGTGTTTGACTGACTTTAAGAGGAAGGGTAATGATTATCTAAATAAGCTTGTCAGTTCTATATGCTTTAGTAAAATTTGTGAGTTTTAACTGTTGTACCATTATTAAGCTGACTTTTCTTTATATAAATGTTTATCGTATTTAATCTTTTACATTTGAATATTGGATATCAATATTATGTTCCTTTAGGAGGCTCCCTGAAGTTACTACATTTTTTCTTTAAGATAAATAACATGATTCCTACTGAAACAGCATTGATCTTGAGAAAGATAGATTGATTTTTTCCTTTGAAGATGGGAAATCTGTGTCTGTTAAAAGAACATAATCTTTGTTTTGGTTTAAACAGTCCAGCAATGCAACTTTTCCCTTTAATACTTCATATTGGTATTATTAATAAATGCAAGCACTCTTGTTTTTATACAGAGTACCAAGTATGGTGTCCTTGGAAGAGACAAAGTTGTATACTGGACTTGAATATGGTATGTGAATCCTAATCCTAGTAAATCTGTGTGGATTATTTTTGTCAGTAACTCCACAAGGACAAAATGAAGTATGAAGTAGTGTTTTTGTTTTGTTTTGTTTTGAGACGGAGTCTCACTCTGTTGCCCAGGCTGGAATGTGGTGACGCGGTCTCTGCTCACTGCAACCCCTGCCTCCTAGGTTCAAACGATTCTCCTTGCCTCAGCCTCCCAAAGAGCTATGATTACAGGCATGCGCCACCAAGCCCAGCTAAGTTTTATATTTTTGGTAGAGACAGAGTTTCACCGTGGTGGCCAGGCTGGTCTCAAGCTCCTGACATCAAGTGATCTTCCCAGTTCCGCTTCCCAGAGTGCTGGGATTACAACCATGAGCCACCCTGCCCAGCCTAAAATGAAGTAGTTTTGTATTATGATGTTCCTAATCTCTTTTTTGATATATGAAAAGAATATTAATTATGCAGTACTCATTTTTGCCTATTCTGGAGAAACTGGAAAATTATTATTTAAAGAATAGCCAGTAAGAAATTGGGTCAATCTGTATTTGAATGCTATGTACAGAGGTAGGCTTTTATATATCATAATGTTCATTTATGTTTAAAATTATTCTAGCACTTATATATTATACTTGGTGCAAATAGGAATATTGTAACCCTATATTTGAATGAACTTTATACCCTCCTATCATAATAAAGTTTTATAATAACATTTACATAAAACATTTTATCGTTAATATTCCGAATATAACATGACTAGAAATTTAGCACCCTTTCTCATTGCTGGATTAACACTAAAGTTAGTTACATATATTAATTGCTAGGGTGTAATTGCTTGACTTAGGTCACCCACTAATTAGAAAATTCCATGTATTTTAATCTCTAATTAGTGACTAGAGCCTTGAAATATCAGCAAGGGTGGTTTTTCTTTCCCTCGCCCCTCCCACCTTCTTGCCCCATGAAGTTTTATAAGCAGGTCATTTTATTTATTTTTTAGTATTATTATTATTTTTCTTTATCTTGAAGCATGAGAGACATCTCATAAGCAGGTCATTTAAGTGTAGAGGTTTCAGAAGTTGCTGTAACATGCCTAGCCACTAATCCAGCTATGGTGAAGGCAGACCTATTTTTTTCTCCAATAGTTTATCCCGTCTTGACCTAACCTGTTGATATTAACTTTAAAAGTCTGAGGAGCATTCAGTGTCTAAAATACCTTCTTTTATGTTTTCAAAATAGATCTGTCTCGAGAGAACCACCGCGAAGCAATTGCTGCAGTTATAAGGAAACTTCTTAGTAAGTATATCTGTACATTTAACTTATTTGTACTTTGGAATAAGTATTTTGGAATTTTAATTTATAACATGCATGTGTTTACTTAACGTTTTTTATTCTAAATGGTGAGAATATTGTGCAGTGATTTTTTTTCTTAATGGATTCTTAACTAATGCCTCAAGATTCTTATAGTAGTTCAAAATATTTTAACCAAAATCCTTTTCCTTCTCCCATTATAGACCACATACTTGATAATTCAGAAGATGATACGAAGTCATTATTTCTTATTATAAAGGTACAGTTGTCATTTAATAGTTGCATAATTATTAATATGATAAAGCTTGGATTGATGACTTGCAAATACAATTTGAAATTCTTTGACACAGATTATTGGAGACCTTTTGCAATTCCAAGGATCTCACAAGCATGAATTTGACTCCCGATGGAAAAGCTTCAACTTAGTAAAGAAATCAATGGAAAATCGGGTCAGTATTTTCACCTAAAAGTCTGCACTAATTTTTTTTTTTAAAGATGTATAATAACCTCCTAGTTTGGATATTATTCATCATATAGAGGAAGTTTCCCTAAAAGGAAAAATAGTAGATTTAAAAATATGTAAAAGTTAAAAATATCATGGTAGAAATCAAATGGATCCTAGCAAAAAATGTGTTTTTCTTATACAGAATCTGCTGCCTGTTTCCATGATAGTCTCTAAACTCTCAATGGGAATTTGGATAATAGCATTGAGACTACCTTGTAAGAACTTGAAGGAATTTAAAAATAGGAGGAATTATCTACAGGAATGAACTTAAAGCATTGCACTTTATGTAGATCTGAGAAAAAGTTACCTTGTATTATATTCATGCTGCAGTAGAAGTCATCGTAAGCTTCTTTGGGACCCCAGAAGAAAGAGTATCAGTGTAAGCCAAGAGATGTTGATGGCAGTGTTCTTATACCAGAAACTTTTACTGAAATTGAGTGTAAAAAGGTTGTGTGAGTTCATTGTTTAGACAACAGTTGCTAGATACTTCAGGCAGAAGGAATGGCATGTAAAAGGGCAAGGAGATACAAAAACATCACATGCTTTAGGGGCCAGTGGCTGTAGGGGGTAAACTAGGTTGTTTTTACTTTGTTGTGAGAAAGTGCTTCAGTTTTATATTCACCAGTGGGAGAGTCGTTAACGGTTCTTAAGTAGATCTGATTTGAATATTGATTGGAAAAGTCAACACTCAATTCACTAAACATTAAAAAGCTCTGCCACCACTGTGAACAGTAAGTACAAAGAGATTGATACTGGAAGCAAGAAAGGGAGTTAACTATTACACTCCAGGTGAAAAACACAGCCTGAGTCAAGTCACTGGTCTTGAAATGGAAATAACATGTTTTGAAAATGGTAGAATTGGGAGGCCTAATGACTATAAGGAGCTGTGGTGTGGAAGAAGAATAGTCTTTGAGCCTCAACTATCTGCCTTTGGTGACCAGGTAGAAGATTATATGGATAAAAGCTTAAATTATAACTTTTAGAAATCTAAAAGATATTATTATTACATTTTGTACTAAACATATATTATTACCCTGAAAGGCTATGGCTATTTATAGATTTCAGAGAGTTGAGCAGTTGTCTTAGTAGGCTGTTTTTGTACTTGCAGTATTTAGCTGAATAAGAACACAACTCTGTTGCTCTCCCATGCGTGGGTCTAGTAGTAAACTATCAGAGAAAAACTGGGTGTTGGATGGGCTATTTAAAAGGGGGATATTTCTACTATTACCCATAAAATTAATTAAGATAGCATATTTTTATATAAGCCTGATGTCTTTAGAATAAAGGAAATACCACCACCACTCACCAGCCAACCAGGGACCTTTTTGACCACTTACTAAGGTATTTAGAGGCCTCCATTGTTGAAGTCAGTTAGTGAAAATGTTGAAATATTTGTTGCTACTTTGTTTTCCAGCTCCATGGGAAAAAACAACATATCAGAGCACTGTTGATTGATAGAGTAATGTTACAGCATGAGGTAAATATGTTTTTCAGTCATAGTGACTTTTTAAAATGCCAGTTTTCCAGATGAGTATTTAGTTGTGTTTTCATAATTAAATTTTAGTAAATACTTTGCAATTGTTTTCTTAGCTACGGACACTAACTGTTGAGGGTTGTGAATACAAAAAGATACATCAAGATATGATCAGAGATCTTCTTCGCTTATCTACAAGTTCATACAGTCAGGTAAGGTTTATCCAAACATAGCACTCTCCTCCTGCCCTCCCATTTTATTACATGCAATCTTAATTTCCCCCTTTTAACAAGAGAGTTTAAATAATTGCTCCCATAATTGGAATTATTCTCTCAATGATTGGAAATTGTAATTTCCAGTAATTACATCCAGGAAGTAATAAAACCAGAACCAAAAGCTAGGCTCTCTTAACTCGTGTTAGCATAGAAAACAGCTTTCAGGCCGGGCGCGGTGACTCAAGCCTGTAATCCGAGTACTTTGGGAGGCCGAGATGGGCGGATCACAAGGTCAGGAGATCGAGACCATCCTGGCTAACACGGTGAAACCCTGTCTCTACTAAAAAATACGAAAAACTAGCCGGGCGAGGTGGCAGGCGCCTACGTGGGAGGCTGAGGCAGGAGAATGGCGTAAACCCGGGAGGCAGAGCTTGCAGTGAGCTGAGATCCGGCCACTGCACTCTAGCCTGGGCGACAGAGCGAGACTCTGTCTCAAAAAAAAAAAAAAAGAAAACAGCTTTCAAATTGCAAATATATTCAAGCTAAGTTTGCTAGTCATTTTTTTATAATGCTTAATGTTGCTATTTGTAATTGTTTCTCATTTACTTAAATTTGGAAGACAGTGCTAGTGTGATATTGCTGGCACTTCAATCACATTTTGAAGTCCAGTCTACGAAGGCCACATAATTCCTCCTAGACATTATGCTTGGGTTTTAGGAAGCTGCTACCGCATGAATTGTGAGGGCTGTCTTTTAAGATAGTGGAGGCAAAAGAGATTCATATGCAACAATTATTCTATGTTTGTAAAATAATGTAAATTAGCTACAGGTTAAGCATTGGAAACCCAAAATGCTCCAGAATCCAAAACTTTTTGAGCACCAACATGATGCTCGAAGGAAATGTTTGTTGGAGCATTCCTGATTTCAGATTTTTGGATTTGGGATGATTACCCAGGAAGTTTATAATCCACGTTTCAAAATCGGAAAAAAATCTCAAATCCAAAACATTTCTGGTCCTGAGCATTTTATTTTACTTTATTTTTATTTTTTGAGACACGGTCTCTGTTACCCAGGCTTCAGTGCAGTGGTGTGATCACAGCCTACTGTAGCCCTGAACTCAAGCCTTGAGCTTGAGCTCAAGCGATTTTCTCACCTCAGCTTTCTGAATAGCTGGGATTACAGGCATACACTGCCCTGAACTCATCTTGAACTCAAGCCTTGTAGCCTTGAGCTTGAGCTCAAGTGCTCATCTTATCTCAGCCTCCTGAATAGCTGGGATTACAGGCATGCGCCACCATGCTGGACTAATTTTTTCATTTTTAGTAGAGACAAGGTCTTGCTGTATTGCCCAGGCTGGCTCGAACTCCTGGGCTCAAGCGATCTTCCTGCCTGGGCCTCCCACAGTGTTGGGATTACAGGCGTGAGCCACCATGCCCGGGCACCTGAACATTTTAGATAAAGGATACTCAACCTGTAACTAATCTCTGGCTCAGAGATTCCCTCTGAAGTAATGTTTAAAATGAGTTTGAGGCCAGGTATGGTGGCTTATGCCTGTAATCCCAACACTGTGAGTGGGAGGCCAAGGCGGGTGGATCACTTGAGATCAGGAGTTCAAGACCAGCTTGGCAACATGGTGAAACCCCCACCCTCCTAAAAATACAAAAAATTAGCCAGGTGTGGTGGCATGCACCTATAGTACCAGCTACACGGGAGGCTAAGGCAGGAGAATCGCTTGAACCCTGGGAGGCAGAGGTTGCAGTGAGCCAAGATGGCGCCACTGCACTCCAGCCTGGGTGACAGAGCGAAAAAAAAAAAACTGGTTATAGGAAAAGCAACATATTGTGCATATTTCAAACTCTTTTTTGTTTGTTTGTTTGAGATGGAGTCTCGCTCTGTCACCCAGGCTTGAGTGCAGTGGCACAATCTCAGTTTACTGCAACCTCCGCCTCCTAAGTTCCAGCAATTCTCTTGCCTCGGCCTCCCCGGTAGCTGGGACTACAGGCATGCACCACCATGCCTGGCTAATTTTGTGTTTTTAGTAGAGACAGGGTTTCTCCATGTTGGCCAGGCTGGTCTCTTAACTCCTGACCTCAGGTGATCCACCTGCCTCAGCCTCTCAAAGTGCTGGGATTACAGGTGTGAGCCACCGTGCCCAGCCTACTATAACCAGTTATTATCCATTACTGTTTAACTAGTTCATAAGTTGTAAATTTATACTTAATGTTTTGTTTGGGTCAAAAATATGTGAGATTGTGCTTAAGGTTTGCCTTAAAAATTTTAAGTTGTTATGTGTCTGTTTTGGTTTATTTAAGTTCCTCCTGGAAATTCTTTAATTTTCCTTGTGTGGACAGAAGAGAAAATCTGGCTCTTCATATGAAGAGTAATTCAGAATAAAAAGTTTAGTAGTATGCTGGTTACTTTTAGCTGTGTTACTGAGCAAATGCATATTGGTTCCATTCAGTCTCACTTTTATCAAACATATTTCAGTCAGTGTAACCTAAACTATGGATATGGTTGGTGGTAATGTGCTTTCCTTTTGATATAAGTAAAGATAATCATTTACTTGTTTTTTAGGATATTTGCTTTGAGATTTCTTTTGTTAATGAGAAAAACATGTAAATTATCATTATTGTTTTTGAAATTTGTTTTAAACTGCTTTGTACTTTAATATATAATAAAAGTCCTTTGTTAATAATACTTCCTCCAGGTGAGAAATAAGGCTCAGCAAACATTTTTTGCTGCCTTGGGAGCATATAACTTCTGTTGCAGAGATATCATTCCCTTGGTTTTGGAGTTCTTAAGGCCTGATAGACAAGATGTTACACAGCAGCAATTCAAGGTACAGGGTTTTTTTTTCTGTTTTATTGTAAACATTTTCAAACATACTGAAAAGTTGAAAGAATTCTACAGTAAACATCCATATCTTCACCATTGAGATTCTATATTTAAGATTTTGTTATATTTGTTTTATCGCATATCTGTTCAGTTTTTTTATGTATTTCAAAGTAAATTGAAGATATCAACACGATTCACCTTTAAAAAGGTATAATCTTTGTTTCATACCGATATGAGACTCATTATTTACTTATTTACCTCTGTTTGTGATCAGTATTATGATGAAGAAAATGTAAGAAGCAGACTTCCCTGAGGAAAAGAATTGTTGAACTTGAGTGCTAGTGGCCAAGTAGTCTGGCTGGCCTGTGGCAGAGAGGGATGAAAGACGAAGAAGTTTAGAGTAGTATGACCAGCATGAAGGAAGGGCTTAAGACAGGAAGGAAGAAATATGGTAAGTTTGAGCAATGGTATGAAAGCTTATGTAATTGGAGTAGAGAAGAAAAGAAATGATACAGGGTAAGGCAAATACTACATCCTATGGGGATGTAATAGAGTATAGGTAATATATAATGATTGCTTATACTGTCAGGTAGAAAGAAATAGATTGAGAGTGAATTAAGAGTGAGAACAGATAGGACTTGGTGATTGAACATGAGGGGACTGAAAAAAGGAAATGTCAAAATTACTAAGCTTTTGGATCCTACAACTAGTTGTTGGGCACATCAGAGAGAGCGAGAGTAGAATAGATGATGACATAGTTAATTTGGACTAGTTTAATTTGAAGTGGTTCTAGTGAACTAAGAGCACCGTCAAGTGGGCAGTTAGATATCTGAGTCCGAAGATACCATTTCCATGTATGTTGATGATAATTGAAATCTATGGGCATGGATAAGAAAGCCTAGGAGGAGATTAAGAAGAGGACCAAGGGGCATATGTTGAGAAACTCCTTTAGAAGCCAATAGAAGAGCTGAGTGACACTGGAGAGGTCAGAAAGGTATCGAGAAATAGGGAAGAATCACAGAAGGCAGAAAGAGGTCTTTCTAGAAGGAAGAGTCAGTGAGTACATTCTTTGTTTTTTTGGAGATAATGAAGATGAACCCTAAACATGTTCCATGAAGCTTGTAAGACAGAGGTGTCAATAAACTATAGCCCAGGCTCAGTTGCTGTTTGCTTTTGTAAAAGTAAAAGTTTGCTTTTTTAAAACTTCTGTTGAAACACAGTCATGTTCATTCCTTTATGTATTATGTATGGCTACTTTCACTCTACAGTGACAGAGAAGAGTAGTTGAGACAGAGCAAATGGAAAATATTTGCTGACCCCCAGTGCAGATGTATAATTCAAGAGTCTTGTAGGTTTGACTCATTGACTATCCTGTTGTTGACCTTAATGAGAGCAGTTTAAATGGACAAAATTAGAGAGGTCAAGTACAATCGAAAAATATCTATTAGATCAACAAAATCCAGGTTATGAGTGACCTTATGGAGAACCTGTAGAGAGGAGTGGAATACAAAGTCAGTAACAAGCTAGATTGGAATCAGGTGAGGTGAGTTGAAAATCAAAATATTGGCCGGGCACGGTGGCTCATGCCTGTAATCCCAGCACTTTGGGAGGCCGAGATGGGTGGATCATAAGGTCAAGAGTTCTAGACCAGCCTGGCCAACACGGTGAAACCCCATCTCTACTAAAAATACAAAAATTAGCCGGGCGTGGTGGCGGGCTCCTGTAATCCCAGCTACTCAGGAGGCTGAGGCAGGAGAATCGCTTGAACCCGGGAGGTGGAGGTTGCAGTGAGCCAAGATCGTGCCACTGCACTCTAGCCTGGGCGACAGAGCAAGAATCTGCCTCAAAAAAAAAAAAAAAAGAAAAAAGAAAATCAAAATATTTTGATACTACTAACTCTTTTTATGAAAAAGCACTTTAGAAAGGATACCTGCTGTCATCAGAATCATTGTGGTTAATTGGACTTTCATGAGTAATAAATACACAATATAGTTTTTATGTACTTTGTAAATTACTCAGCAACCGGGTGTTAACTACTATTTAATAAATTATTTCAAACACCAAACATTAGACCCTAAAATTTTAAGAGTGGCACATTTTGTGGTTTTTATGATATACTTGAAGAAAATTACTATGGAATGAATATATGTTCTTAGAAACAGCCTTACATTTCTTTACTACCTTATTAGTAGCCATTCTTTGAGCAATTTCTTTTTTTCTTTTTGGAGACAGGGTCTCGCTGTGTCACCTAGGCTGGAGTACAGTGGCATAAGCACAGCTCATTGTAGCCTCCGACCTGTTGGGCTTGAGTGATCCTCCTACCTCAGCCTCCTGAGGAGCTGGGACCACAGGTGTGTGCCACCATGCCCAGCTAATTTTTGATTTTTTGTAGAGAAGAGGTTTCACCATGTTTCCCAGGCTCTCAAACTCCTGAGCTCAACCAGTCTACCTACTTTGGCCTCCCAAAATGCAGGAATTACAGGCGTGAGCCACCTCACCTGTCCCAAACTCTGTATTAAATGACTTAGAGAAAATATTAACGGATGTCACTTAAATGTCAAGTTAAAGTTTCTAAAAAGTAACATGTTCAATGTGTGAATATATTTTACTAACCAACGTTAAGCATTTAAGTAATCAATACTCATTTAAAATCAACATGTAGGTGTGTTGGCTACAACTACACGATGCCTCTTATTTCCCATGTAAACATATGTATATATTTTTTTCTGCAGGGTGCCTTGTACTGTCTCCTTGGAAATCACAGTGGTGTGTGCTTGGCAAACCTTCATGATTGGGACTGTATTGTACAGACTTGGCCAGCGATTGTTTCTTCAGGGCTTAGCCAAGCAATGTCCCTGGAAAAGCCATCAATAGTGAGACTGTTTGATGATCTTGCAGAAAAGATTCATAGGCAGTATGAAACAATTGGCTTGGACTTCACAGTAAGCAATGTCATTCTTTCATTCAAGTTTTAGTGGAAATCCCGCCTTGTTAAAATGCCCTTTATTTTTCTTGCCCTTTTTGCAGTAATAATATTCTTGGCATTTGAGTCCAGTGTTTTTTTTAAAAAAACATTTGTTACCTGTTTGCTTTTTGTACTTTCATTGATCATTAAGTACTTTCATAGATAACAAGGTAGAGTAGCAAGTTGGAGCATGGTAGGGAGACAGCCAGGGCTCCACAAAGGCTTACTGATTTGTTACATTTACCCTTATTTTGTGTGTGTCCACAGCTTCATTTTTCAAAGACTTAATTATATTTTACGAGGTTTACCATGCTAGCCAAAGTCACAAAAGATCGACTACTGGGTCCGGGTCTGTAATTTATAGTGAAGAAAACTAAAATTGAATGATTTGACAAATGAAAGACTAAAGAGTATAACTTTCAGTGGTGCTCAGGTTGCAAGTTATACCAGGTTTTCTAGGAACCTGCAAATCTGTATTTTTACCCCCTCGGAACATGGGAGTGAGTAAAAGAAGGATGAGCACAGCAGAATCCACCTCTGCCTTAAAGTGACTATGGTTGACATCTCTCCCCTGGTTTAAAAACCACTGTTCTAAATATATTCCTTTTAAATCAAACATAGCGTTGCTATTTGCAACTGTCTTTAGATTATACTTTATTTTTTAGAAAAAAATTTAATTGAGATGTAATTCACATATCATAAATATCACCCTTTTAATATGGACAGGTTGTATGCACAATAGTATAGTCACAGGGCTGTGTAACCACTTGAATTCCAGAGCATTTTCCTTTGTTTGTTTCTCATTCTCATTCTGCTTCATTCTGTCCCCCAAGGCTAGAGTGCAGTGGCATAATCATCCCCTGCCTCAACTTTCCTAGTAACTAGGAGTATAGGTGTGTACCACCACACCCAGCTAATTTAAATTTTTTTTTTTTTTTTTTAAGAGAGACAGGGGTCTTGCTGTGTTCCCAGGGCTGGTCTCAAACTCCTGGCCTCAAGCAGTCCCCTCACCTTGACCTCCCAAAGTGCTGGGATTACAGAAATGAGCCACCATGTCTGGCCTCCACAATATTTTCATTGCCCCAAAACAAAATGAGTACCTAATAGCAGTCGCTTCCCATTCTTCCATACCCCAAAGCCCTGGAAACCACTTTCTTTTTCAGTAAATTGTCCTGTTATTAGATATTTCATATAAATGGAATAATAAAATATGTGGACTTTTGTGTCTGGCCTCTTTCACTTAACATTTTCAAGGTTCGTTCAGGTAGTATGCATCAGAACTTCATTTTTTTTTCCTGCTTTTTTCTTTTTAACAAGATTCCAAAGTCATGTGTTGAAATAGCGGAATTACTTCAACAGTCAAAAAACCCCTCTATCAACCAGATATTGCTTAGCCCAGAAAAAATTAAGGAAGGAATTAAACGCCAACAAGAAAAGAATGCTGATGCCCTAAGGTAATTGATGAATGGTGTACTTCAATAGATGACATATAGATAATAAGTTTTGGCTTTTTTTGAGACAGAGTCTTGCCCTGTTGCCCAGGCTGGAGTACAGTGAGACGGTCATGGCTCACTGCAACCTCCACCTCCCAGGTTTAAACTGTTCTCATGTGTCAGCCTCCCGAGTAGCTGAGATAACAGGCATGCACCACCACACCGGGCTATTTTTGTGTTTTTAGTAGAGACAGGGTTTCACCACATTGGCCAGGCTGGTCTCGAACTCCTGGCCTCAAGTGATCTGCCCACCTCAGCCTCCCAAAGTGCTAGGATTATAGGCGTGAGCCCCCACGCCTGGCCGATAGTAAGTGCCGATAGTAAGTTTTTAACATCTCTAAAATATAGATGTATACCATAATTGCTTAATGATGTTTACAGATTGACTTCTGAAAAAAATACAAAGAAATCGAGAGATAGTTATTACAAAGATTCCTGTTTTTTCTTTGTAAGCTATGGAGGTATAAAACACCATCTTAAAAATAAGGTCAAGCGTGGTGGCTTTTGCCTGTTATCCCAGCACTTTGGGAGGTTGAGGTGGGAAGATCGCTTGAGCTAAGGTGTTCGAGACCAGCCTGGGCAACATGGTGAAACGCTGTCTATACAAAAAATACAAAAATTAGCCAGGTATGGTGGCATGTGCCTACAGCCCCAGCTACTTGGGGGGCTAAGGTGGGAGGATCGCTTGAACCTGGGAGGCAGAGGTTATAGTGAGCAGAAATTGTGCCTCTGCATTTCAGCCTGGGTAACAGAGCAAGACCCTGTCTCAAATAAAACAAAAAGTTATTTCACTGTCATACCTTTTTTTTTTCTAGTCAATTATCTTTCTTTCTTTCTTTTTTTTTTTAAGGTAGTAATATTTCAGAAACTACATAACTGGTACATATCAGTCATTAATTCCTAAATTCAAGTTTAGCAGATGTATCATTTTATAGTTCATATAATAATAATGACTTTTTGGTCAAATTTGGTATCAGGATTTTAATAAACTGTTTTTGGATTCTTGGTACCAAAGCACTTAAATCCTTCAGTGATGACACTCAAGCAAGAGTCTTCCTAATTTGATTTTGTCTTTGCCTTATAATTAGTATATGAATATGCCTCTTTGTTGTTTTCTAAAATGTGTATAAATAATAAATTCTTACAGCCTATGTAATATATTTCATAGGCTGTATCGTGTGTGTGTGTGTGTGTGTGTACCACTCCCAATTAATTGATTACTACTTACAGAGTTACTTGTGCATGTCCACTCAGGAAAAGTTGAGTTCACTCTCCCTAGCCTTTCATGAGCTTTTCCCAGCATCTCTGTTCACCTGTCTGCTTTCATTCTGGCTTGCTTCTCACCAGGCCCTTTACAGTCAGGTGGTGAGAAGTAAGTGGGGAAGGAGGGTGAATTTGGCTAGAATTTGCATTTCTATTATATTTTTTGATGTTCATTTTAGTATTATAGTAAAGTAATACCTCACCTGATTTTTTTTTTTTTAAAAGGAACTATGAAAATTTGGTAGACACCTTGCTAGATGGTGTGGAGCAAAGAAACCTGTAAGTACAAAAGATTTTTGTAATTCTCACAGCATTTATCTTAAATACTATAGGAGTTTTCTACAAGGAAGGCTATGAATGACTACGTCACAAAAAGTTGTGTTCTGATTTGTGTATTTGTAAGCAGATTAAGAGGAAAAGAGATGGAGGGAAAGTTTGGGATTAATGATGGAAGCAGCGTTCTTCAGTAGACCTATTTTAATTCTTGAGAAACTTAAAATTATAAGGTGTTTCACATACTTTCTTTTTTTTTTTCAAGTGGTTTTATGTGTGGTATGCTTTGTCATTTTTCCTCCTTTTAAGGCCCTGGAAATTTGAACATATAGGCATTGGGCTTCTGTCTCTACTGCTGAGAGATGACCGAGTGTTGCCTCTTCGTGCCATACGGTTTTTTGTTGAGAATCTCAACCATGATGCAATTGTAGTTCGAAAGGTACATACCTTGTTTTAGCTACAGTCTTGGGTTTGAGACTATGTACGTGACCTGAAGTCTTTAAATTCTTCACAAACAATACACACTTGGTTAATAAATATCTTGAAGTATATTGATTTGAAATCTACCCCGTTGGTTCAGAGATGATAATGATTCATCTAACAAATATATAAGGACATGCTTAGGCACTGTGTGTTTAAACACTGGGAATATAGCAGGAAATAAGTTTATAGGCTAATGGGAAAGATTGAAAAATTAGAAAATTAGATGTGCAGTGTTTCAGGAGGGGTAAGAAACATGAGGGTACAGTTTTGTACTCTCCAAGTGTCAGAGGTGAGGTGAGGGATTGGGAGATGGCCTAAGCTGAAGCATTGGAGAACGACCTTTAAAAATACCCTGAGGCTGGGCCAGGCTTGGTGGCTCACGCCCGTAATCTCAGCACTTTGGGAGACTGAGGCAGGTAGATCACATGAGGTTGGGAGTTGTCTATACAAAAAATTTAATTGAGATGTAATTCACATATCATAAATATCACCCTTTTAATATGGACAGGTTGTATGCACAATAGTATAGTCACAGGGCTGTGTAACCACTTGAATTCCAGAGCCTGACCAACATGGAGAAACCCCATTTCTACCAGAAGTACAAAATTTGCTGGATGTGGTGGCGCATGCCTGTAATCCCAGCTACTTGGGAGGCTGAGGCAGGAGAACCGCTTGAACCCGGGATGGGGAGGTTGTGGTGAGCCGAGATTGTGCCATTGCACTCCAGCCTGGGCAACAAGAGTGAAAACTCTGTCTAAAAAAAAAAAAAAAAATACCTAGAGGCTAAGATTTGAAGAATGAGCAGATATTGGTTTAACAAAGAAAGGGTCAAAGTTTTCTAGGAGGAGAGACTAGCATGGGTCAAGACTGTAGAGTAAGAACTGCCTGTGATTTATTCTAAGTCAGATTTAGCACTCACATGGCTGTACTGCCAGATGTCAATAGGTGAGGTGTTTTTTTAAAGAAAAACAGAATCGATTTCTCCTTTGAGTAGAGCAAGCAACCAGTTAAGTGATTTAAATTTTTTTTATAATTGTGCCTTTTTTCTTTTCTAGATGGCTATCTCAGCTGTTGCTGGTATCCTTAAACAGCTAAAAAGAACCCACAAAAAGCTGACCATTAACCCATGTGAAATCAGTGAGTACTACCAGAAGTAATTAATAGTACTTTCCAATAAAACTCAGAAAATTTTCTTGACATGTATACATTTTAGTTCTTGACCTCAAATATTGTTCTATGGATATTAACACAAAATATGAAATAACATTATGAAGGAAACAGTTGACTTAGTAAAAGCCAGTGATAACTATCTACAAAAATAGATTGATTCTTTCTGCCTTCATATTATTTATGTCACCCACTAAGCAATTATACTAATTATTTCATCAACTGTATTTCAAAGACTTAAATTGCTGTTATTAATTTGTTAAATGTTTTTCTTTGGGTGGTGGGATTATAGGGACAAGGTGAATTTTCTTCCTCATACCTTATTGTATTACCAGAATTTTTCAGAAGAAAAAACCATTTTTTTCTGGTCTCCAATCCAGGATTAAAACATTGCATTTCAGTTGTATGGTATCTTTAGTTTCCTTTAATGCAATGTTTAATCCTGGATTGGATTATAGTCCAGAAGAAAATGTTTAAAAATTTTTTTTAATGTAAAGTACATTCAGTGGGACAGCCATCCAAATTTGAGTAAAGTCTGTTGATGAAATAATTCTACTGTATTAATGTAAACTTTGAGAATTGTATTTTGATTATTTGAGATGATGTCTACAGTTGATACTCATAGTTTTGATAAGTATGTGTGGAGAGAGAGAGAATATCAAAATGTTAAAATTTGGGTGTCTCAGTGAAAGTTATGTGGGAATTCTTTGAGCTCTGTAAGTCTGGAATTATTATTTCAAATCTAAATAGTTTAAGCAAAATTAATCCATTTAATTTTGGTAAAAGGAATGAAGTAAGTTTCATCCTTGATCTTTTCCCCCAAAATAACTGATTCAACAAAATTTAGTAGATAATCCCATCTTCTCTGTTTTGAAATGTGCCCCCAATTGCTCATACATATGTTACCTTGTCTTGAGAGAATTTTAATAGTGTTGTATTGTGAAGGCAAAGTTACACTGGTACTGTTGATTGAAATTTGAGAATAACTGTTGGGTGAATGTTTTTAAATTCATCAAATGTGATTGTCTTTTCCTTAGGTGGATATCCTAAACCCACCCAAATTATTGCTGGTGATAGACCTGATAATCATTGGTTGCATTATGATAGCAAAACTTTACCAAGAACTAAAAAAGAATGGGACTCAAGTTGCTTTGTGGAAAAAACTCACTGGGGATACTACACCTGGCCAAAGTAAGTAACTTACTGTGTATCTTATCATTAAATGCCTTTGATATAACTGTTTTATCATATTTCAGTTTCTGGGGAGGTTCAGAGGCACTTGAAGGTTCTTTTATCTTTCCCCTTCCCTAGTCCTCTCTTTCTTTTGCTCCTGCCAATGCTACGCCTCATTCCTGCCTCTTTCCTTGTATGAAAACCCTTAGCCTTTCTGAATTCCATGGTTATATGGCTAAGGAGGTTATTAATAGCTGCTCTAAATTATATTCCTACTTATTAATAATACACATGCCTAAACCAACCCAGAGAAATACATACTTTTCTCTCCTTATTAACTCCATTTGTCATTAGGACACAGTGATCTGATAGATTTTTAAGGCCTAGACTGTTATTGCTGTACTCATCTCCCCAAACTTAGCATCTAGTTAGAGTTCATTAAAAGTGCCTTCTAATGCTTTCTATCCATGAAGCTCTAATATTTTTTTCTATGCGTATGATAAATATGAACTCTTACTATATAGGAATATGGTTGTTTATGCTGGTGTGGAAGAGCAGCCTAAGCTTGGCAGAAGCAGGGAGGATATGACAGAGGTAAGCATTCCATTTCACCATGGTTCAAATGCATCTTATTTTGGGCCACTGATTTATCTCAACCTCACTTCAGTTCTTCTTTTTCTTTTTTTTTCTTAATACAAGTTGTGTTTTTTAGTATAGCGCTGCGTAAATATTGGTGACTGTGTAATCCATTCTCCCCAACCCCTTTATACCAGTGCCAGTTGACATAGATCTTGATGTATCTAAGACTGAGTTACTACCCCATTCAGCACTCCCTTGGCTACTGCTTTATGTAGTTTGCTGCTCATTTCTTGTATCAGTTCTGTTACAAGTGTTTTAAAGGAAAAGTTAATGACTGATTTTTAGTTTTCTATTGCATATAAATTATGGGTACTCCGTAAACACATACTGGTAGATTTCAGTTAAAACTTGACTTAAACTTCATTTAATTTACTTCATTTTGAAAGTTGACTTGGCTGGGAGCCATGGCACATGCCTGTAATCCCAACACTTTGGAAGTCTGAGGCAGATGGATCACTTGAGCCCAGGAGTTTGAGACCATCCTGAGCAACATGGCGAAACCCTGTCTCTACAAAAAAATACAAAAATTAGCTGGGCGTAGTGGTGCACACCTCTAGTCCCAGCTACTTGGAAGGCTAAGGTGGGAAAATTACCTGATTACCTGCAATGAGCCATGATCACACCACTGCACTCCAGCCTGAGTGACAGAGTGAGACCCTGTCCCAAAAAAAGAAAAGAAAAAAGAAAGTTGACAAGGGTTTTTAAGTTTATGTATTCCTCAAGTTAATGGTGGTGTAACTTTTTCTGGTTCTGAACGGTTGGTTTACCTTTTAACTTCTGGTGTTTTATAAATATGGAAGTGATTTGTTGGGGCTTGATTTATAGTTTTGGGGATTTTAACAAATTGCACACCAGATGTCACAGTTGCTTTCAGTTTTCATTTACCAAGCAGAACATTTGTTGATTTTTAATTCACAGTGTGAGAAATAGGATTCAAACTTGAGAATCTGAAGGAAAACTTATTCTTACTGTTTTAGCATTTTTAGAGGGAGATAGTTGGTTTTAGAAATCATTGTTATCTATGAGAACTAAAAGTTCATTGAAACAAAAATACAGCCTGCTTTTGACTATCAAAATCTTGTAATTTTAACTTTTTCAGAATCATGTATTTAAGTAGATTTTAAACCCTGAATATTGTTTTTTTTTTTAACTTTATAGGCAGAACAGATTATATTTGATCATTTTTCTGATCCTAAATTTGTTGAACAGTTAATTACTTTTCTATCATTAGAAGACAGAAAAGGAAAAGATAAGTTTAATCCACGACGTTTTTGTCTCTTTAAGGTAACTATATTATTTACATATCCTCTTTGTAATGCTTAGTAACTATTCAGTTTGTAGGTTCATAACTTATAAATATTTGATCAAGGCTAGCCATCTGCTTTCATCTAAAATGGCACTGGAGTTTACACTGAACATGTGTAGACTTTTGTTGTTGTCATTATTCCCTAAACAAGACATTATAACAAGTATTTATGTAGCATTAATATATAATACAATTGGTAAACATTGTATTAGATCTTATAAGTACTCTTAAGATGATTTAAAATATACAGGAGGATGTATTACCATTTTATGTAAAGGACTTGAACATTTTGGTATTCTGGAGTGGGGATCTTGAAACCAGTTCCCCATGCACACCAAGGGATGACTGTATTTATCTTTAATGTTTGTTGTAATTGGCACTAGAAAGAAAAAAATACCCAAAACTATATGTGTTTTTTATGTTTAGTTGCTTTTTTTGAGGTGTGATACTTAGAAAGATTATTAATATTTGTTTCATTGGTTACATTTTAATGTGATGTTTAAAATGACAATATTCTTACTATTTTAACTTATCGGAATTGTTAAAGCAGTTCTAAAGGGGAGTGCGCTTGGAGTTTTTAAGCACATTAGTAATGTACAGAATAATTACAAGCATAATTATAATTGAGATGATAGCCATTTGAGTACTGAAGAACTGTCTTTGTTTTTATAGGGTATATTCAGGAATTTTGATGATGCCTTCCTGCCAGTTCTGAAGCCGCATTTAGAACGTTTGGTTGCAGATTCACATGAAAGCACCCAGCGATGTGTTGCAGAAATTATAGCTGGTTTAATCAGAGGTTCTAAGCATTGGACATTTGAAAAGGTGATGTATTAATAGTTGTACAGAACATTTCCTGTTAAAGCTATGTTACCCATTTTGGTGGCAATTCCCAACACATTAGATGCTGATAATTAAAATATGAAATGTTCAGTGATAGGAAATATGCCGATATGTAGACATTGCTTTTGATTACAGATTACAGCCTAATGGTCTCTAAGAACATTTACTATCTTTAAATTTTTGAAATA